ATGAACAATTATTTCAAGTGAATACATTTGTTATATGAGATGAATTCACCCTATTACTGATTTACTGGTAGTCTCGAAACTCTACTCTAATACGAAAATGAATACATTTGTGTTTGAAGTTGTAAGAAGAATGCAAATGTGAAAAAAAATTCACCGGTTCTTGATCCTCAGTTTGTCCGAGCAGCAGGCTCAATCGGTGCTCACGCTCCAACTTCTTCTCCTGTTGGCAAAGATGGATTTCGCGACGCTGCTTCTTAACACGTATCGCCGCGATTGCTTTTCTACGCGTCTCGAGGCTACGCTGAAGAACGGCCAACCGAGCAACTGCTTCTGTCTGTTCGCTCGACTCAACGGACTTGAGATGGCCGGGATAAGGGGAGTTCGAGGAGTCATTAAACACTTGTGATGCTGAGGTAGTAATGAGTGTGGAGGTTGGAGTCCGCGTGCCTTCATCAGGCTCCTTGTTAAATTTCCCTGCCTCTTGATTTTCCATTTCAATGTTATCATTCCCACTAGCATCAAGATGAGGAACCGGATCATTTGGAGTCTGGAGAGGAAGAACAGCAGTGCAGGTAGTGGCAGCAACTCCCCGTGCTCGTTCAGCGGCCTCCGCAATTTCATTGACCTGCTGAAGAGCAAGGTCGTAGGCCTCCATTTCAACGGTCATCTGACGCATGGCATCCTCCAAAAGACGAGAACAGGCAGAAACAGAGGAGAGATCGGAAGAGAAAGAAGCCTGCGACAGACTATCGTCTATACAGGCGGAGTCTGTACTGACCAATCGACAAGGCGCACACTCTGAATCCAGAGGTTGAGTGACTTCAGATGCGGATGAGCAAGTGGGCGGAGGTTGCCTCGGATCCGGACGGTCTGGAGGCGAACAAAGTGTCGTCTGAGATGGGATATGCCTGGTATGTTCAGTTGCCAAGGGGCAGAATGAAAATGCACCAAAGTCATTATAATATATGATATCTGTAGAATAGTATTTATTGTGAGTGGCGATATTACAGTGCAAATGTGTCTTGTTTCATTAGATTTGGTTAGCAAAGGAAATAAGATAGTGGGAATTTTATGGCATTAAATAATTAAAAAATGTTATTTAAGATAATCACTTAATGTTCCGAGGCCCAGTGGTCAAATAGTCTATGATTAATTGAGTGATAAGTTTAGGGGGAAACATCTTTTTTTTGCAGAAGAA